GCCTTTTTTGGGGCCGAAAAAAGAAGATTGAAGAAGAAAGAAAACATCAAATGGTAAGTTATTTTTATCTAATTTTTTTTACAGGTTTTTAGTTAAAGGTCCCCCCCTCATTATTTTTAGGGTAAGGGGGGTAGGTAGGGAGCTAATTTTTTTTGGGGGGGGAGGGGTGACTAGGGTCCCCCCCTTTGTATTTAGGGCCTTATTGTTAATTTTAGGGCCCCCACCCGCCGCACAGGGGTGGGGGCCGGGGGGGACAATAGGTCCCCCCCTTATTGTTATTAGGGCCCCCACCCACCGCTCAGGGGTGGGGGCCGGGGGGGACAGTAGGTCCCCCCTTATTGTTATTTTTAGGGCCCCCACCCGCCGCACAGGGGTGGGGGCCGGAGAGGGGGAGGACTGTAGGTGCCCCCCTCATTATCTTTATGGCCCCGACCCACCAGAAAGAGTCCCTGTGGGTTTTAAAATTCGCCTGCCTATTGAAGTCTATGGCGGTTCGCCGGGTTCGCCCAGTTCGTGAACATTTGCGGAAGTTCGCGTTTGCGGTTCGCGAACCGAAAATGTCATGTTCGCGACATCACTAGTCATCATGCCTATCATTTCTGCTCTGATGTTTTCTAAATAAAATGCAAAAGAAAAGGATACTGTATGTATAGAGACAAATATTTGGACATTACACATAAGTGTAAAATAAGGCAAGCATAATCTATTCTTGAAAGAAAGGTAATTTCATTATTTGTAAAATAATCTAAAATACATGGAAGTGGCTTCATAGAGCAATTTCTCATTTGTACATTTAACATTGTCTTCAGCACCTAACATTTAAAACTCTTCTATAATGGTTGTCTGCAACTTTTAATGATATTATCCTGTCAATGAGAGCCAGAGGGAAAGTAGTTTGTCTTTGTTTTCTAACTGTAATAGCATGGAGAACAGTACAATAGATGATTTATTAACAATGAGATTTTACAAGCAACCAGTATTGATGAATGGGTGCAATTTTATGGACTAAAATCAATACCATTTAATCGAGTCAAATCTGAACAAATTAAATTAAACTAAGACTTCAAAAAAAGCCTCTAGTAAAACAAATGAATTTCTGTAAAACCTTCCTCTTCTGATCCTAGAGCTTTGGGAGATAAAGGAAAAGATTTTTTTTGGCACATTGCAATTAGAACAGCTTATTAAACAAATATTTTTCCTTCATCCTCTTAAAATAAAAGGTAATGTGGTTTTATTCTGAGAATCACACGTGGAATTAAGCTGTTTTCCTTGATTTGCGGCAGATCGTGTTTAATATCACCTTTAAAAACAGTACAATAAATTACAAGTAACATCACCAATAGCAGATTTAAAAGTTTATGTCCAAAATGTGTTGTTATTACATTGCTTCAGGTAAAATGTGTATGCTTTGTTAATAAAAAATAATAATATTTTAAAATGCCACATTGGGCTAGAGGCTCTAAGTTGTTTTACACCAGAGAAAGCAATATTCTTTTACCTAAGGTAAGAGTACATATTACTTAAAATTATTTTTCCATGCAAAACCTTTCCAGTCACAATTTAATTTACAAATAATTTTATATTTTCAGTGTTCTTGCCAAACTTCTAAGGAGTGTGGAGATTTACAGATCAAATATATACTCACCACACATCTGCTTGCAGGTTAACCACAAACGTAAATCTTGTATATGCTTATGACTCAGATGGTACTTTCTCTAAGCTCCCTTATTAAGATTTGTGTTCTGGGATAATAAGACATGGGGAGCATTAGTTACAAACATGGTACCTAAAAGGTATTTAAACAAACACTATAGTTACTAGTGATGTCGCGAACCCGAAATTTTCGGTTCGCGAACAGCGAACGCGAACTTCCGCAAATGTTCGCGAACCGGCGAACCGCCCGAAACGCCATTGACTTCAATGGGGAGGCGAATTTTAAAACACACAGGGACTCTTTCTGGCCACAATAGGGATGGAAAAGTTGTTTCAAGGGGACTAACACCTGGACTGTGGCATGCCGGAGGGGGATCCATGGCAAAACTCCCATGGAAAATTACACAGTTGATACAGAGTCTGGTTTTAATCCATAAAGGGCAGAAATCACCTAACATTCCTAAATCACAATCAATATGGATTGACACCTGACATATGACATATTGACACCTTGACATATGGATTGACACCTGTCCTCAGAGCCCCTGATGCACACGGACACAGAGCAGAATAGAGACTGGTCCCCCTACATAGGGTCACTTGGCAGATATGGATTGACACCTGTCCTAAGGATCCCTGATACACACTGACACAGAGCAGAATAGGGACTGTTCCCCCTACATCGGGTCACTTGGCAGATATGGATTGACACCTGTCCTAAGGTTCCCTGATACACACTGACACAGAGCAGAATAGGGACTGGTCCCCTACATCGGGTCACTTGGCAGATATGGATTGACACCTTGTTACAAACTGCTATTTGTAACGGGCCCTTTAAATGGCAAATTGCCCTGCTTCCCTGGGTTGTGGAGAAGCCTACTTGCCAGCCTCCTCCCGCATGACTATGGCCCCTGGGAGATTGTGAAAATGTATGCACTTTTATTTGGTGTGTATGGCCCTTTAAGACTGTCGGTGGGCATATTGGGGCTTATGGACTCTTTATGTGACTGGTGCTGGCCCTTTAAACACCTTTTTTGGGACATCAGGAAGATTGGGACACTGCCCCTTTAAGGCCGTGTCCCCAGACTTGTTGGGGACACGGCCCCTTTAAGACGGTGTCCCCTGTGTCCCCAGACCTGGTGCAAACCCTTTGTGCCTGCCTTGCTATTTCCCACTTGGTTCAGTAAATGGGAAATTATTTCAGCTGCAGAGACTAAGTCCCATTCGGCGATGGGACTTAGTCTTTTTTTCAGCCGTTTTTTTCAGCCTTATTTCAGCTGCAGAGACTAAGTCCCATTCGCCATGGGACTTAGTCGTTTTTTCAGCCGTTTTTTCTAGCCTGGCTTTGCTGCAAAGATCAGCACCCATTCGGCGCATGTGGGACTTCAGTCTTTTCACGCTTTTTCTCAGCCTTATTTCAGTTGGGAGACTAAGTCCCATTCGCGACATGGGACTTAGCCGCTTTTCAGCCTGGAAGATCCCACCAGCCCAAATCTGAACTGTTTTAAGCAGGAAAATGTGCTTTTGGCGGCTCGGTCATAAAGGGACCTCCCAGCTAACTTTAACCCTGGATGATTTAAATTGATTTTGGTTATGTTTATGTTTTAAGTGTGCTGATTCCAAATATGTAATTATGAAGATGAGATGTGTAGTTTTAAAGTTACAGGGTATGGCTAAAAACTGTATTTTTACTGCCTGTGTTTAATTATGTTAATCTCTTCCCAAACGTCATTTTGTTCAAAGTGGAGAGAATGTTAAAAAAATATATTTTTGTTCTGAGTGTGAGAAATGCTTTTCAGCCGCCTCTAATCTTAAGCATCATTTGAGGAGCCATACAGGAGAGAAACCTTATTTGTGGTGTGTTTAGTATTGTTCTGATCAGTTTAATACCTTCCGCGTCTCCTATCAGTGGACGTGTATATGGTAGGCATTTTAGGAACCGTGCACCTGGG